ATTCACAGGCGAGTGAAAAAAGAATTCACGGTAGGTGATGATGTTTCTGATGTTCTTAAGTCGCTGAAATTAGAAGAAAACGAAGAGAAGCAGTTGTATTCGGCTTCAAACCTGCACATTGATGAGTTTTGCAAGTGGCTATGGTGCATTTATGAACAAATGCATTACAACAATGAAAGTCCAACAATGGATAGAAAGAAATTTTCAGGGGTTACCAAACAGTTGCACAGCCTGTACAAATCATCACAGCTGCTTGAAAAATAGAAAGAATGCTCGGAAGTGAATGTGGATATCGGCATTAAAGGAAAAGATCGAAAGGCTGCAGTGGTATATGCTAGGGCTGTGTATGCCGAGTTTATACATAGAAAAGCTGATGATCCGAGAAAGGCATACTTTAACGATCCCACTCAATTTAAAGAAGGACCAGTTCACAGCACGACAAAGGAGGCACAAGGCAAAATAAGGGATATTGGTGGATGGGTGATAAGTGAAGAAATTAAGGCATGCATCTCTTATGTCAACCGCCACAAATGTTCAAGGTCAACGAATGTTGTTAGAGAGATTGAAAAAACCCGAAAAATAGTAAACAACAAGTGTTAGAAACATCAAAGTGTCCTGAAACACTCGAACACATTACTTTGTATGACAAGGGAGGGAAAACCTATATCACAGATGCAGTTTTTGATTTCGTTATGAAGGTTTCAGCGATTGCATCTGAACAGCTTTCAGAGAAAAACATTCATGCTTTTAAGCAGAACACATTGTCTGTTGCCTACGATCATCTCTTGAAGAGTGTCACCCTGAAAGAAAGCTTCCTTGACTTAGTATATATTGCTGTCAGTGGCGATAATGCCACCAACAACATGGTTGTAGATACAGCTGTTGATCATTCCAGTTGCTTGTCAAAATCTGGTGAACCCAGTAATGATGTTTTAGCAGAGGTCACTGCTAATGATGCTGATGTTTCAACAAGTGATGGAGTCAATGTCAGGAATAACCATCTCCTTCAGGACAACATCTCGATTAATGGGACAGACAATCAGTCTGTTACTATGGAAGATGAGTTCATGGAAACAGATGAGATGTTTCTTCTAGATGACAGTAGCCAGGGAAATTTGCAAGATAGCAACATTGCACAACATAACACAATAAATTCAGGTGTGTAAAATAAAATAGTGACTAACCCGTACCGTGTATGTTGGTTTAAACAGTTCTATTTTAGTGTGCCTGATTAATCACTAGGTTCAGTTTATAATTTTCTGTTCCTTTTAATTAAAGGGACCTAAGAGAAACCTGAGCTTGCATGAATTTCATATTTAATAATTATTTGCCAAAGGCAAGGTGATTATTCACAATAATCACTGTGCCTGAGGATTGTTTTGGGCATAATTTCAATGATTATTTGAAAAAAAATTTAAAAAAAATTTTTCATCATATTACATCACAAAAAACTTGAACGACCGCCAAAAATCGAGCTTGAATCAATATAAGGAGAGCTGCTTGCTTCACTCGACAGCAATAATCACCAATATAATTATACTAAATTTGTTCATTATTTTTTGCATTTAATATATAGAGACAAGCACAGTCGATAAGATTGTTACGGACACCTCAGAGCACAGTCAATTCACAAATTTAGGTTGGTAAAACAATTACATGAACATGTTACCGATGACTCTGGACAATTGTTGACTCTGGACAGTTCAAATAACAATTATGCAATTATTAATCGTACTTTTCCACCAGGGGCGTCAGAAAGTCGATAATTGGGGGCAGATATTCACAAATTCACGTTCTGCATCATTCATTTATTTTGAAAGCGATTGCTTTTACAGTCTGTGAACATATGAACATGAATACCTGCCCCCCCCCCCCTTAATTAATGACTTTCTGGCGCCTCTGCCAGGCCCCTCAGACATTTCTCATATTTTATACTTTTCGACAGTGCTATATTACAAAACAAAAAAAAAAACATTTTCCTGTATTGATATACAGTTATATATAGGGATGAGCTGATACCAGAAAAAAGCCGATTCACTGATCCAATATATCGGAGCCGATATAAAAAAATAATCGGCCGATTAATCGGCTATGGCCGATATTTCTGTGTAAAAGTTGAATAAAAGTTTAAAACCCGGTACAAGCGCCGAATAACGGTTTTTTGACAACTTTTAATACTTGTGTATACGCCACAAATTGACGTACTAGTTTTAGTGTGTTCCGGAAAATATTTACTCATATTGGACAGTTACCCGTCACTGTACGAGTCAAATTAATCAAACGTAAAAATATAAATGTATAATTGGAATTCACTCAATTAGACTAGACTTGTAGACTAAAATAGATGTCTATACTGTCTAGACAACTCGACTTTCGAGCCTTTAATTTCTTTAAAGGCTTTAATGTTTATTTAAATTAAACAGTAAAATTGGCTAAATTTTTTTCAGTGATTTTGTGTTTAATTAAGATACAATGATAAGATTTTAATTAACTTACAAGTGGTCTTATTCCCTCGAATAACGCAATATGGGATTAAATAAGTGTTCGTTCAGACTGAGTGCCCGGCACTGGTGCCCAATATTCAAAATGGTTCACAAAACATGTTGAGCACAGTGCCGTTGTTGAGTACTACCTCTAGAGGTAGTGCCCGTTCTTGGGCACTGTGCCCAATTTCATTTGAAAGCGTCGTGTTCAAACTGGGAGCCAAAACAAGTGCCGGGCACCAGTGCCGGGCACCCAGTCTGGACGCAGCCTAATACGCGCAACAAAAGTGTCAAAAACAAGATGGAGTGTAGATTACTAGATTATAGAGTTATTTTTTAAAAAAAAAAACGAAAAAATTGCGAATATCGGCAAATAGCCGATTATAAAAAATAATCGGCCGATTACCGATTATTTTGAAAACGCCAAATATCGGCCGATTAATCGGCTCATCCCTAGTTATATAAACACTTGTTATTACAATTTTTTAATTTAAATTAATTTATAGAGACAAGAACAGATTGCACGGTGGACAATGTTATTTTTGAAGATGAAACTACATCGGCATTATTCAAACGAATAATTCACCGATTTTGCAACATGATGTCTGCAGAAACTGTGAGAAACTTTAAAAAGTTGAATCAACTAAAGAAAAGCAGTGCTTTACGACAAGGTCTCCAAGCTAAAGCCGAGAAAAAAGCAAAAAAGTCAGACGGTCGTGTAACAACAGCAAGTATGATAAAAGACCAATTTCCAAAGGCTGCTACACACTTTTCACTAAAGGCACTGGCATATAAAGGAGATAATGTGTTTGAACCCTATTCACACATTGAATTAAACTTTATTATGATGGCTTACAATATTCCAACTTCTAATGACAACAAAAAAAAGAGGTCCAGAACATTGGCAGAAGTTTTACGAGCATCGGGTGAAGAAATGCCAAGTCCTGAAAAGTTGACCCAAGAAATGTATGAGATGGTAAAGACAACAAATTTAAGAAACAATAATGTGTGTGTGCCTGTTAACGAAGCGGGTCAAAGTACAGAAAACCCAGCAAATCAGCAAAGACAGCAAGCCAGAGGTACAGTCTATATTATTATGTCAACCTATTTATTATTTAAGTGATTAATCAATATGGTTATGACCTATTTATCATGAGTATAATAATATACAATATAATATACAGTACAATCCGTTTATCTGCCTGACTATCATCAAATCTCATCATAGGAAAATCAAGAACATGCTCACATTGCAATCTGCCTGGTCACCGAAAGACATACAGGGGAAAGATTACCTGTCCATCTCTGTTAGATGTGAATGGCGATAATGAAGATGTTAATGGTGATAATGAAGGTGTAATTGGTAATTGAACAACTACGACATGTATGGTTTCCCATTGGTGACATTTGAATGCACCCTTAATTTAATATCAATAGTTTCAAAAACAATATAGTACTATTCTCTGTCCATTTCCTATTTACAATTAGGTTGATTTCTTCACCTGGGCTGGTTGTTCAAAAGTTGGTTAGCTCAATCATAGGTTAATGTAAAATTCAAAAATAACCTTCCAACTTTTACTAACTTTCTTAAGTGTATAAAATTAAATATTCCTCTTCAGTATTGATTACTCATGAGATGATTATCATTATAACACGATAATCACCTCTTGCGTTTTTCAAAATGCCTTTTTGTCAGTGAAAATGTTGAAGAAATCTGTCATTTACATAAACAAATCCACAAATCAAAATAGTGGTCAATCCAATAGCTGATGCTAACCGTACTTTGAACAACTAGCCAATGAAGAAAAGTCAACTATTTTGAGGAACACAAAACGTTGTTCAGAATTTCACCTTAAATTTAGGTCCTGACGTTTGTGCAGTTTCCTTTCGACTTCTTGTACTCTTGCATGTGTATAATGCCGAGGGTGGAACGTTCTGAAATGTGATAATATAAAAAATAGTATTATTCCCATTTTCAGTTTTATGAAGCACATGGCCTAAATGCATTTACTGTACTGCCAGCATGTATTTTACTGTAAATGCATTTATGCAATTACCTGTTTGCAAAATTGACGGATTGGTCGTTTGACCATTCACCGCCCTCTGTTCTCCAAAGAAGTTTTCCAGCTTGTCCTGGTTTGTGTGGCAAGCTAGAACAGTTGATCCGGGATACATTTTGAACAACGTTCTGCAGTACACTTTGAATCCGGTGATCATGGAGTACACATCAAATTTCGTTTTATCTGATAGAAACATTTTTCGTTTCTCCTTAAGTGTCACATCGGGGGTGTTCATAGCCTGAGTCTCCCACCTTTCCAACCACATCTGGCATTGCTCATTTTCCAAAAAACGTTCATCTTCTGTAGATCTATGCATACGTTGAAGGCAGAAACAGAATAAGTAAAATGGAATTGAAACCTCACTGCTGTTGCACTCATGAGAAGGGAGACTTTCGGAACAATTAACTGTTTGTGACAGATACTTATTAGCATGTACAGTTGAGTACATGATTAGCATGGAAGTATTTGTCACAAAATATTAGAGAAAGCAAATCATCGATTTTTGAAAACTTGTTATGGATATAGTTGTAAATAGTATTATATTAACTTAAATTCCTCTTTTTCATATTTGCATGCATTATTTCTAAATACCATCTAAATAATACATTTTCGTAATTTTACTGTAATTTTACAAGCCCATTGTGGAAACCAGCTTCAGCTGACAATGTAAGCATGGTTAAATAACGTTCATCATAATTATCATGTACATCAGTACATGCTAATAAATAAAAGTACAAAATATCTGTTTGCATGATTTTAAAAGTCATAATCAAGTCTGCATATATTGTTAGCTTAATATATACCTGTATGGTTTCTTGTTTTTGAAGTTCTTTAGCAAAGTGCTAGTCACTGTTATCAGTTCAATCGTCTTTTCCAGTGATCCAGTGTAATTTCCCTCACTTTTCAAATGCACTTCATAGTTCCACCAAGCAGTAAAAATACATGTTTCAATAAAAATGATAATGTATATAGTGAAAATATCTCGACATACAGTACACCTTCAGTGACTTAGAGTTGCTGAAAACGTGTTTATTGCTATAATTGCGTTTACTGGAGCCAGTGGAGGTGGATTGTGACTATGGACATATACTACTCATGTTGGCTACCCAAAATCGTGCTGACTACCTAAAACCACGCCCTAAATAGATTTCTCCATAAGCCGTTCAACTGTTCTGTATTATTTCTATATTTATGAGTCAACCCATAATACAAATTATTATAAATATAGGTGGGCTGGTACCTTTAGAACTTCTACCATTCGCTTTCCAAGGACATCATCAGCGAGGTAATTGCGCATTTTTTCAGCACTTCCTGGATCAAAATGCTGGGGAGTTAAGTGCTTGAATGTTTGAATTGGGTTGTACTCAACGTCATACAAGTACGCATTTTTCAAATGGGCCCAGAGAATCTCTTTGCCATCAAGTTTGAAATGCCGTGGAGTTTTACCGCTTGTACTTTTCAACACATTGTCCCTAACCTTTTTGAAGTTGTGCTAAAAATAGAAATTTGAAATTATTCATTTACCTGAAGTCAGCTGCCAATCCTTTGTAAAAGTGAAATTAATAACCATTATAAGCTGCTTGCAACTTGCACTAACTTTTACTAATCTTCTAAGATTGTTTAATGCATAGTTCAGACATTGTGTATCAATAAAAAACACACCCTTTTAAAACAGGACAAAGAACAGACTAAATTACTACAATAGGTTATGGCAAACCTGGAAGGATGGTGTGGTTTTTATTAATACACACTGTGGAAGAAAGACATGGTTTGGTTGATCAACAAATTGTTTTTCCATACAATGACGTGATTACCCGATAAAAGGGGGTAATGGTCTATCAAACTGAAGGTGTTTGGTTAGTGTATAGTCTCTTCATAGTCGTTATTGTAAAATCTAAACTCACATTAATTAGACTACTTACTGAAGGATCAACCATAAAAACCAATGGTTCCCCAGTGTAGATATTGGTTGTGGCGAAGTCTTGTGCAACTGCATCTTCTTCGTTGAAATGGCATTGAATAAAGGTGCGATTTGCTTGAGCACCGTCACAAATGGCAAGCAAAACCTTGAACCCAAATTCTCCCAAATCGAAGACCGCACTCCAGAACTGATGGTATAGTGTGGTGGGATCAACTTCAATTGTTGGGAAATAGCAAATTGGAAATTTGAAGCCTGTAGAACCAATAAACATGAACTGGAGAAGGTGAGTCGCTATAGCTGCTTCATCTTTACCTGCAATATTGAAAAGATCATATACAGTATATAAACAAACTTCCAGACAAAAGTATTTTTTATCTATCATTAAGCAGGCTGAAGCTAATTGTATTTACCTGTTTCCAATACTTTCATATCTTCATGAAGATCTCCAAGGTTTACTACACCCACAATTTCAAATGATTCACCCTTCCTTCGTAGCTGAACATCATCCTGTATATAATACAAAATAAATATGAGGGTGTGATGCACAGTCTTATTCACAAAATTAATATAACTTTCAACTTAAAGGACATTGGCAACAAAAAATTGTATTGCTTCAACTGAAAGAGCATGAAAAAATAAGCCGATTGGCCATTTAATGCTCTATTCTATCTCATCTAGTTCCGAAGTTATACGCAATAATGTGCAAACTATAAATTGCTGATTCAGCACAACGTGTGACGTCATTGGTTGGGTAAGTATGTTTAATGAAAACTAAACTGAAGCATAGCTCAGTTAGTATGGGCCCAAATTAAATGAAATTTTGCATACTGATTGTACATGTTGAGATGCATTGAAAAACATTTCTAATTTTGTTGCCAAGGTAACAATGTCGTTCCCAGGCCCCCTTGCGCCAATTTTATAAAACGGCTTTATACATGGTACTTATAAAATAATATCAGAAGTATGTGTACCATACCTACAGGGATGGATTTACTGGGGGGTGCGCACCCCCCCCCCCTAGCCATGGCCAGGGGGGTGCAGGGGGGTGCTATTTTTCATGATAAAGCAAAAAATTATTAGAGACAAAATGAGATTCAGTAATTTGAGCAATAACATGATGATATTAAAGCGAACTGTGAACAACAATTACAATTTAAATACTGTAGTCAAGCAAGACTTTGCAGAAGTGGAACAGGTTGCTAGACGGGTAAAGTCACTGGAAACCAATTGCAATGTACTCGTCCGGAAAATTTTTTTGCCTAAAAAGTTGTCGACGGGGGGGGGCGGGTCATTGCTCTCCGGAAAAATTTTTTTTCGGGAAAAATTTTTTAAATAGGGCTCCCTAAAAAAATTTGCACCCCCCCCTATCAGATCATGCTGGATCCATCCCTGCATACCTATGCATGCCAAAAGTTTACTTACATGATAATAATTCAAAAATGACATACACATAGGTAAATGCAACTAGTTATTCAAAATCAGTGTAAGGGGACATACACATAGGTAAATGCAACTAGTTATTCAAAATAAGGGGTCTGGGAACGACTGTGTTGCCTTGACAACAAAATTAGAAGTATTTTCCCATGCATCTCATCATGTGCTATCTGTATGCAAAATTTCATTTGATTTGAGCCAATAATAACTGAGCTATGCTTCAGTTTACTATTCAATAAACATACTTACCCAACCAATGACGTCACAGGTTGTGCTGAATCAGCAATTTATATTTTGCACATTTTTGTGTATAACTTCGGAACCAGATGAGATAGAATAGAGCAGTAAACGGCCAATCGGCTTATTTTTTCATGCACTTTCAGATAAAGCAATAACATTTTTTATTGCCAATACCCTTTAATATGTATTTATCATGTGATAAATTTCCTTTACATCTGGCTAGTATAATTATAGAACAATATTTTGCATAAAATCACCTGAACAGACATTTCATCAAATGTGATGTAACCACAATGACCTGCTGGAGATATATTCTGGATCTCAGCTTGCTGCTTCATGTATCTCAACATGTCTATGTTTCTGCCTGGTTTCTAAATAATAAAATACAAAATTAATATATAACAAAATAATATATTAAGGAGGCTCTGTGCAGTTGTCGTCAGTTTTGATGTTTGTCTGAGTTTTAGTGGGGTTTAATTTTTGGTGTTAATTATAAATAATTTTTCGCATTCCTTCAGCAACTGACTGTGGTATGTTAGGAATGTCTGAGATTAAACTTTAGTTTGTTCGTCTGAGTTTTTGATAATAAATAGTAAATATGCAAAGCAAAAAAACAACTTTAATCAGTAGATATGGCTAGTGTGAATATATTGGCAGCTTGGTATAGTTACCTGTTTAATTTTGCCTTTGTGATACTGGAGTATTCGTGAAGAAGGTAACTTTATGAATCCTGATTCCTGCAATATTTCATAGCTTTGCTTCGATCTGTGCCATAAAGCTAAACATGTCTTGATGACACTATATTAAAGAATAATAATAATAATAATAATATATATATATATATATATATATATATATATATATATATATATATATATATATATATATATTATATATTATATATATATATATATATATATATATATATATATATATATATATATATATATATATATATATATATATATATATATATATATATATATATATATTATATATGCAGCTATTTCAGTTCAGGTGGTCAGCGACAATGGTCAAATGTACAACACAAGCGTGAATGAATGATGGGAATATCATTGTCTTTACTTGTTTATTATGCATAAACATGCTAAAGACAATATTCCCATCGTTCCTTGGCACTCATGTTGTACATTTGACTCTTGTCACTGACAACCTTAATTGAAATAGCTGTATATATTAAGAACATTTTTTTATACTTACTATTTTTAACCTCTAATGCTCTAGGATTATGCTAAGGCTAGGCTAAGATTATTATTATGTAATTTACTTCTCACAATCTTGAGACATTACTTACGCAGGATGCCACCTAATGGAACCTTGTTTTGCTTTCTTTGATATAACATCTCTTTGCATTTCCCAGAATAGCGACAGTCTGGGATCATCAGGGAATAACTCCTTTTCTGGCTTATCAAGTTCTCCAAACATTGTTGTAAGGTCGCAGTCATCCTCGCTGGCCAGATGTTTCATTTTCTTTTCTTCTGCAGCCTTGAATCTCCAATATCTGGCCCTTTTCTCAGCAGCTATCCTTCGCCTCTTCTGATCACACTCCTTAGCAGACATTTCCTCCTCAGAAAGAAATCGTTTGTTGGTTCTGCTTGTGCTTGGTTCAACCAATTTATCACACTCATCATGCAAGTTATTGTTAAAACGAACCAGTTGAACACTTAGATTTCGTCTGAGGATATTACAGCTATGACATAGTGCACTTGATGTTGTGGTAGTTTCCATGAAATACGAACAAGAAACAGACCGCCAGTTAGAAAACTGTTGTTCATTTCCATGTTCATCCAAATGTACTACCTGTTGGACAGCGCCAATTTGTTCTCCACACACATTGTGTACAATACTTTTCAAAACTGAAAATGCTGGGTTAGTTGCTCCTGTACATGTCTTCCAGACTTCAACTACTTGAAGAATTTTAAGAAACTCTGACAAGGATCCAATCTCATTTGGCAAGGGTGCTATCAAGGAAGAACAATTTGTTTTACATCCAGCATAGGTAGCTTCCCAAGTGAGGTCATCGGAAACTTTAACTGTCCTGAAAACCTGTTTGCCATCAAACAGTTTCTTGTCGTACATTGATACTTCCAAATATCTATCACATAAGAATTGTACATTCCAACAGGTGTCAGCAGCCATGTGTTGCTTCTTAAAATCCTCTTGCAGATTTTGCAGAGTGTAGGAGGAAAAAGGATTGGCATGTTCGATGCTCTTCTTAAAATTGAATGATAAATTCAGATAAATGTGTATGGATATAGTTAAGGCTTAGTAATCAATATTTGCATATTAGCTGGGTATATTCATGTTTTGGAAGTGCTCAAAGCTCTGCTCAAAAGTGTTAAAGTTTTGAAGACTTAAGGTTATCAATATTTAATTTAGGTTAAGATGAACACATAAAAATAGCATAAGGATACTGATATTTGTCTGTCGTGCCAGATAAACGTCTCTTCTTCTTCACACACGATGGAAACGTTCTCAGAAGTCTGCGTCCGAAGGTAGCACGATTTGGTACAAGCTTACATTGTTGTTGGCATTCCAAAACGAATGTATTGTATGCTTCCTCGACCAACAAAACATTGTTAGCCGAATAACAGAATACAGAGACGAATCTAAAATTTATAAACATAAATTTCAAACACAACCAAACAATATTCATAAACAGACTCTTCGCATACACATAATTTTATTTAATTTAAAAAATGCCTTGCAACAGAATTTTGCAACAGTGTCATTATGAATTCAAAATTCATCAGACCATGTAAAATATTTAAATGTAAACTTACGGCTCCTTATCAAACTCTTGTTCAGCCATCCGTGTCGAATGAGTGCGTTCGTTGCTTTTCTTTATTCGTCTACATATTCACTCGAATTTGCCTTGAAATGTTTATTCGTTCGCCTCCGAATTCGTTGCGTGACTTACGTCCAGATTGCCTCTCGGAATTTTGGCGCGCAAAATAGTTTAAATTTATATAGCGATGTTCCTAGCAACAGCTATGTTCCTAGCAACGTGCTACGAGCATCAGACGAAAGATCTACTGGAATATGCCGGTGTTTCACTCCCCTTTCTTTCTCTCCCCTTCTCCGCCTCGCAAGCTCCCGCCGCGCCAGCGCTTATTCACGCCGCCGCGCCAGCGCTATTCACGTCGCCGGCCAGCGCGCTACTTCGTATAATAGTAATATGAAGGGAATATGATATTCTCAAAATGGCAGTTTCCATTTCCCATTTGAATTTGCGCGTGTGTCTAAAGATATATTAAGGACTCTTCCACAAACATCAAGGATTTTCAGTAAAAGAACAAATGAAGTGAACGTCTATGAAAACAGGTACGAATATTAGACAAATATACGTAAAAATATTTATACAAATAGTCAAATATCGTTCTGCTGTGCTCCATTGATTTTTTCGGCAAACCCGAAATTTTCAAGAAAATTTTCATTTTTTCGCCAAATGCGAAATTTTCCAGAAAATTTTCATTTTTTCGCCAAACCCGAAATTTTCCAGAAAATTTTCATTTTTTCGCCAAATCCGAAATTTTCCAGAAAATTTTCATTTTTTCGCCAAATCCAAAATTTTCCAGAAAATTTTCATTTTTTCGGCCAATCCGAAATTTTCAAGAAAATTTTCATTTTTTCGCCAAATCCGAATTTTCCAGAAAATTTTCATTTTTTCGCCAAATCCGAAATTTTCTACAAAATTTTCATTTTTTCGCCAAATCCGAAATTTTCAAGAAAATTTTTAATTTTTTCTCCAAAACACAAATTTTCCCGAAAATTTTTAATTTTTTCGCCAAATCCAAAATTTTCAAGGAAATTTGCATTTTTTCGCCAAATTCGAAATTTTCCAGAAAATTTTCATTTTTTCGCCAAATCCGAAATTTTCCAGAAAATTTTCATTTTTTCGCCAAATCCGAAATTTTCCAGAAAATTTTCATTTTTTCGCCAAATCCAAAATTTTATAGAAAATTTTCATTTTTTCGCCAAATCGAAATTTTCTACAAAATTTTCATTTTTTCGCCAAATCGAAATTTTCTACAAAATTTTCATTTTTTCGCCCAATCCAAAATTTTCCAGAAAATTTTCATTTTTTCGCCAAATCCGAAATTTTCCAGAAAATTTTCATTTTTTCGCCAAATCCGAAAATTCCAGAAAATTTTCATTTTTTCGCCACATCCGAAATTTCTCAGAAAATTTTCATTTTTTCTGCAAATCCGAAATTTTCAAGAAAATTTTCATTTTTTCGCCAAATCCGAAATTTTCCAGAAAATTTTCATTTTTTCGCCAAATCCAAAATTTTATAGAAAATTTTCATTTTTTCGCCAAATCGAAATTTTCTACAAAATTTTCATTTTTTCGCCAAATCGAAATTTTCTACAAAATTTTCATTTTTTCGCCCAATCCAAAATTTTCCAGAAAATTTTCATTTTTTCGCCAAATCCGAAATTTTCCAGAAAATTTTCATTTTTTCGCCAAATCCGAAATTTTCCAGAAAATTTTCATATTTTCGCGAAATTCGAAATTTTCCAGAAAATGTATAATTTTTTCGCCAAATGCGAAATTTTCCAGAAAATTTTCATTTTTTCGGCAAATCCGAAATTTTCAAGAAAATTTTCATATTTTCGCGAAATTCGAAATTTTCCAGAAAATTTATAATTTTTTCGGAAAAAGCGAAAATTTCAAGAAAATTTTTAATTTTTTCGCCAAATCCGAAATTTTCCAGAAAATTTTCATTTTTTCGCCAAATCCGAAATTTTCAAGAAATTTTTAATTTTTTCTCCAAATCCGAAATTTACAAGAAAATTTACATATTTTCGCCAAATTCGAAATTTTCCCGAAAATTTTTAATTTTTTCGCCAAATCCGACATTTTCAAGAAAATTTTCATTTTTTCGCCAAATCCAAAATTTGCAAGGAAATTTGCATTTTTTCGCCAAATCCAAAATTTTCTAGAAAATTTTCATTTTTTCGCCAAATCCGAAATTTTCTAGAAAATTTTCATTTTTTCGCCAAATCCGAAAATTCTAAGAAAATTTTCATTTTTTCGCCCAATCCGAAATTTTCCAGAAAATTTTAATTTTTCCGCCAAATCCGAAATTTTCCAGAAAATTTTCATTTTTTCGCCAAATCCGAAATTTTCCAGAAAATTATCATTCTTTCGCCAAATCCGAAAATTCCAGAAAATTTTCATTTTTTCGCCAAATCCGAAATTTTCCAGAAAATTTTCATTTTTTCGCCACATCCGAAATTTCTCAGAAAATTTTCATTTTTTCTGCAAATCCGAAATTTTCAAGAAAATTTTCATTTTTTCGCCAAATCCGAAATTTCTCAGAAAATTTTCATTTTTTCGCCAAATCCGAAGTATAAAAAAAAATACGCTGAGGACAATGTACCTCACTCTGAGGACTAAGTTCCTTACGCTGAGGACATTGTTCCTCAAGGTGAGGACAAAGTACCTCACACTGACGACAAGGTACCTCACACAGAGAACAATGTTCCTCACTCTGAGGACAAGGTTCCTCACGGTAAAGACAAGGTTCCTCACGCTGAGGACAAGGTACCTCTCACTGAGGACAAGGTACCTCACACTGAGGAAAAGGTTTCTCACGCTGAGGACAAGGTTCCTCACGGTGAGGACAAGCTTCCTGACGGTGAGGACAAGGTTCCTCACGGTGAGGACACGGTTCCTGAGGCAGAGGACAAGATTCCTCACGCAGAGGAGAAGGTTCGTCCCGCTGAGGACAAGGTGCCTCACACTGAGGACAAGGTACGTCACACTAGGGACTAGATTCCTCCCGCTGAGGACAAGGCACCTCACGATGAGTACAAGGTACCTCACAATGAGTACAACGTACCTCACACTGATGACAAGGTTCCTCATGCTTAGGACAAGGTTCTTCAAGCTGAAGACAAGGTACCTTACACTGAGGACAAAGTTCCTCGCCCTGAGGACAAGGCTCCTCGCGCTGAGGACAAAGTTGCCCACGATGACGAAAAGGTTCCTCACGCATAGGACAAGGTTCCTCACGTTCAGGACAAGGTACCTCACACTGAGGACAAGCTTCCTCATGCTGAGGACAAGGTACCTCACATTGAGGACAACGTTCCTCACGCTGAGGACAAGGTCCTCACGCTAAGGACAAAGTTCCTCCCGCTGAGGACAAAGTTCCTCACGCTGAAGACAATGTCGTCACGCTGAGGACAAGGTTTCCCAGGCTGAGGACATGGTACTTCACGCTGAGGACAAGGTACCTCACACTGAGGACAAGGTACGTCACACTGAGGACAAGGTTCATCACGCTGAAGACTAGGTACCTCAGACTGAGGACAACGTTCCTCACGCTGAGAAAAAGGTTCCTCACTCTGAGGACAAGGTACGTCACACTGTGCACAAGTTTCCTCACGCTGAGGACAAGGTTCCCCAAGCTGAGGACAAGGTACCTCACACTGAGGACAAGGTACCTCACATTGAGTACAAGGTTCCTCACGGTGAAGACAAGGTACCTGACACTGAGGACAAGGTACCTCCCGCTGAGGACAAGGTTCCTCACAATGAGGACAAGGTACCTCATGATGAGGACAAGGTACCTCTATCTAAGGAGAAGTTTCCTTATGCTTAGCACAAGGTTCCTCAAGCTTAAGACAAGGTATCTCACACTGAGGACAAGGTAGCTCACACTAAGGACAAGGTTCCTGACGCTGAGCACAACGTTCCTCAAGCTGAGGACAAGGTTCCTCACGATGAGGACAAAGTATCTCACACTGAATACAAGGTAGCTCAAGCTGAGGACAAGGTTCCTGACGCTGAGGACAAAGTTCCTCAAGCTGAGGACAGCCTACCTCACACGTAGGACAAGGTACCTCATGCTTAGGACAAGGTTCCTCACGCTGAGGACAAGGTTCCTCAAGCTGTGCACAAAGTTCCTCACACTGAAGATAAGGTACCTCACAATGAGGACAAGGTTCCTCACTCTGAGGACAAGGTTCGTCACGCTGAGGACAAGGTATCTCACGCTGAGTACAAGGTTCCTCACGCTGACGACAAGGTTCCTCACGCTGAGGACAAGGTACCTCTCGCTGAGGACAAGGTTCCTCATGCTGAAGACAAGGTGCCTCACCCTGAGGACAAGGTACCTCACACTCAGGACAAGGTTCCTCATGCTGAGGACAAGGTTCCTCAAGCTGAGGACAAGCTACCTAACACTGAGGACAAGGTTCCTCAAGCTGAGGACAAAGTTTCTCACGCTGAGGACAAAGTTCCTCACGCTGAGGACAGGGTTCCTCACGCTGAGAACAAGGCACCTCACACTGAGGACAATGGTCCTCAAGCGGAAGACAGGGTACCTCACACTGAGGACAAGGTACCACACACTGAAGACAAGGTTCCTCATGCTGAGAAACAAGGTTCCTCAAGCTGAGAACAAGGTACATCACACTGAGGACGAGGATCCGCAAGCTGAGGACAAGGTACCTCACGCTGAGAACAGAGTTCTTCACGCTGAGAACAAGGTCCCTCACGTTGCGGACAAGGTTCCACACGCTGAGAACAAGGTTGCTCAAGCTGAGGACAAAGTACCTCACACTGAGGAAAAGGTACTCCACACTGAGTACAAGGTTCCTCACTCTGAGGACAAGGTTCCTGACGGTGAGGACAAGGTTCCTCACGGTGAGGACAAGGTACTCACGTAGAGAACAAGATTCCTCACGCAGAGGACAAGTTCCTCAAGCTGAGGAAAAGGTACCGCACTCTGAGGACAAGGTTCCTCAAGGTGAGGACAACGTTCTTCAAGTTGACGACAATGTACCTCACACTGAGGACAATGTCCCTCCAGCTGAAGACAAGGTAACTCGCACTCTGGACAAGGTTCCTCACGCTGAGGACAAAGTTCCTCACGCTGACGACAAGGTACCTCACACTTAGGAGACGGTACCTCACACTGAGGACAAAGTTCCTCACTCTGAGGACAAGGATCCTGACGGTAAGGACAAGGTTGCTCGCGCAGAGGACTAGGTTCTCACGGAAAGGACAAGTTTCCCCACGCAGAGGACAAGGTTCCTCACTCTGAGGACAAGGTTCCTCACGCTGAGGACAAGGTACCTCACACAGAGGACAAGGTACCTCACACTGAGGACAAGGTTCCTCGCGCTGAGGACAAGGTTCCTCAAGATCAGGAGAAAGTACCTCACACTGTGGACAAGGTACCTCACACAGAGGGCAAGGTACCCTACCCTAAGGACAAGGTTCCTCAAGCTGAGGACAAGGTTCCTCACGCTGAGAACAGAGTTCTTCACGCTGAGAACAAGGTCCCTCACGTTGCGGACAAGGTTCCACACGCTGAGAACAAGGTTGCTCAAGCTGAGGACAAAGTACCTCACATTGAGGAAAAGGTACTCCACACTGAGTACAAGGTTCCTCACTCTGAGGACAAGGTTCCTGACGGTGAGGACAAGGTTCCTCACGCCGAGGACAAGGTACCTCACATTGAGGACAAGGTTCCTCAAGCTGAGGACAAGGCACCTCTCACTGATGACAAGGTACCTCACCCTGAGGACAAGGTACCTCACACGGAGGACAAGGTTCCTCACGCTCAGGAGAGGGTTCCTGACGCTGAGGACAAGGTTCCTCACGGTGAGGACAAGGTACCTCACACTTAGGACACGGTACTTCAAGCTGAGGACAAAGCACCTCACACTGAGGACTAGGTACCTCACACTGAGGACAAGGTTCCTCACTCTGGGGACAAGGGTCGTCACGCTGAGGACAAGGTTCCTCACGGTGAGGACAAAGTTCCTCACGCTGAGGAAAAGGTTCCTCAAACTGAGGACAAAGTACCTCACGGTGAGGACAAGGTACCTCACACTGAGGACAAGGTTCCTCACGCTGAGCACAAGGCTTCTCGCGCTGACGACAAGGTTCCTCACGTTGAGAACACGGTTTCTCACGCCGTGGGCAAAGTTTCTCACGCTGAGACCAGGGTACCTCACACTGAGGACAAGGTACGTCAAACCGAGGACAAGGTTCCTCACGCTGAGGACAAGGTTTCTCACGCTGACGACAAGGCTCCCCAAGCTGAGGACAAAATAACTCGCACTGAGGACAAGGTTCCTTAAGCTGAGGACAAGGTACGTCACACTGAGGACAAGGTACCTCAAGCTGAGGACAAGGTACCTCACACTGAGGACCAGGTCCCTCACGCTGAGGACAAGATTCCTCACGCTGAGGACAAGGTTCCTCATGCTGAGGACAAGGTTCTTGATGGCGAGGACAAGGTTCTTCACGCTGAGGACAAGGTTCCTCAAGCTGAGGACAAGGTTCCTCACGTTGAGGACAAGGGTTCTCACGCTGAGGACAAGGTTCCTCACGCTGAGGACAAGGCTGCTCACACTGAGGACAAGGTTCCTCAAGCTGAGGACGAGGTTCCTCACGCAGAGGACAAGTTTCCTCACGCAGAGGACAAGGTTCCTCACTCTGAGGACAAGGCACCTCACACTGTGGACAAGGTACGCCACAGTGAGGACAAGGTTCCTCACGCTGAGGATAGGGTACCTCACACTGAGGTCAAGGTACGTCACACTGAGGACAAGGTACCTCACACTGAGGACAAAGTTCCTGACGGCGAGGACAAGTTTCCTCACGCAGAGGACAAGGTTCTTCACGCAGAGGACAAGGTTCCTCACTCTGAGGACAAAATACCTCACACTGAGGACAAGGTCCGTCACACTGTGTGCAACGTTCCTCACGTTGAGGCAAGGTTCCTCAAGCTGAGGACATAGTACCTCACGCTGAGGAGAAGGTACATCACACTGAGGACAAGGTTCCTCGCGCTGAGTTCAAGGTACCTGACACTGAGGACTAAGTTCCTCACGCTGAGGACAAGGTACGTCACACTGAGGTGAAGGTACCTCACACTGAGGACAAAGTTCGTCAAGCTGAGGGCAAGGTTCGTCACGCTGAGGACAAGGCTGCTCACACTGAGAACAAGGTTCTCAAGCTGAGGGCGAGGTTTCTCACGCAGAGGACAAGTTTCCTCACGCAGACGACAAGGTTCCTCACTCTGAGGACAAGGTACCTCACACTGTGGACAAGGTTCCTCACTGTGAGGACAAGGTTCCACACGGTGAGGACAAGGTACCTCACACTGAGGACAAGGTAACTCACACTGAGGACAAGGTACCTCACACTGAGGACAAAGTTCCTGACGGCGAGGACAAGTTTCCTCACGCAGAGGACAAGGTTCTTCACGCAGAGGACAAGGTTCCTCACTCTGAGGACAAAATACCTCACACTGAGGGCAAGGTACGTCACACTGTGTGCAACGTTCCTCACGTTGAGGCAAGGTTCCTCAAGCTGAGGACATAGTACCTCACACTGAGGAGAAGGTACATCACACTGAGGACAAGGTTCCTCGCGCTGAGTTCAAGGTACCTGACACTGAGGACTAAGTTCCTCACGCTGAGGACAAGGTACGTCACACTGAGGTGAAGGTACCTCACACTGAGGACAAAGTTCCTCAAGCTGAGGACAAGGTTCCTCACGCTGAGGGCAAGTTTGCTCACACTGACGACAAGGTTCCTCAAGCTGAAGACGAGCTTCCTCACGCAGACGACAAGTTTCCTCACGCAGAGGACAAGGTACCTCACTCTGAGGACAAAGTACCTTACACTGTGGACAAGGTTCCTCACTGTGAGGACAAGGTTCCTCACGGTGAGGACAAGGTACCTCACACTGAGGACAAGGTAACTCACACTGAGGACAAGGTACCTCACACTGAAGACAAGGTTCCTGACGGCGAGGACAAGTTTCCTCACGCTGAGGACAAAGTTCTTCAAGCTGAGCACAAGGTACCTCACACTGAGGACCAGGTCCCTCACACTGAGGACAAGATTCCTCACGCTGAGGACAAGGTTCCTCACGCTGAGGACATGGTACCTCACACTGAGGACAAGTTATCTCACTGTGAGGACAAGGTTCCTCACGCTGGCGACAAGGTTCCTCACGCTGAGGACAAGATTCGTCACGTTGAGGACAAGGTTCGTCACGCTGAGGACAAGGTGCCTCACGCTGAGGACAAAAGTACCTCACACTAAGGACAAGGTTCTTCAAGCTGAGGACAAGGTACCTCACACTGAGGACCAGGTCCCTCACGCTGAGGACAAGATTCCTCGCGCTGAGGACAAGGTTCCTCATGCTGAGGAGAAGGTTCCTCACGTTGAGGACAAGGTTCCTCACAGTGACGACAAAGTTTCTCACGCTGACGACAAGGTTCCTCACGCTGAAGACCAGGATCCTCACGCTGAGGACAAGTTACCTCACAATGAGGACAAGGTTCCTCACGCTGGCGACAAGGATCCTCACGCTGAGGACAAGATTCGTCACGCTGAGGACAAGGTTTGTCTCGCTGAGAACAAGGGTCCTCACGCTGAGGACAAGCTACCTCACACTAAGGACAAGGTTCTTCAAGCTGATGACAAGGTTCCTGACGCTGAGGACAAGGTCCTCACCCTGAGGACAAGGTTCCTCAAGATGAGGACAAGGTTCCTCACGATGAGGACAAGGTACCTCACACGGAGGGCAAGGTATTTCACACTGAGGACAAGGTTCCTGGCGCTGAGGACAAGGTTCGTCAAGCTGAGGACAACGTAGCTCACACTGAGGACAAGGTACCTCTCAGTGAGGACAAGGCCCCTCACGCTGAGGACAAGGTTCCTCACGCCCAGGACAAGGTTCGTCACGCTGAGGACAATGTTCCTGACGCTGAGGACAAGGTTCTCACGCTGAGGACAAGGTTCCTCAGGCTGAGGACAAGGTTCCTCACGCTGAGGACTAGGTTCCTCACGGTGACGACAAGGTTTCTCACGCTGACGACAAGATTCCTCACGCTGAGGACAAGGATCCTCACGCTGAGGACGAGTTACCTCACACTGAGAACAAGGTTCCTCACGCTGGTGACAAGGATCCTCACGCTGAGGACAAGATTCCTCACGCTGAGGACAAGGTTCGTCACGCTGAGGACAAGGTGACTCACGCTGGGGACAAGGTACCTCACACTAAGGACAAGGTTCTTCAAGCTGATGACAAGGTTCCTCACGCTGAGGACAAGGTTCCTCACGCTGAGGACAAGGTTCCTCACGCTGAGGACAAGGTTCCTCACGCTGAGGACAAGGTACCTCACACTGAGGAGAAGGTACATCACACTGAGGACAAGGTACCTCACACTGAGGACAAGGTTTCTCAGGCTGACGACAAGGCTCCCCAACCTGAGGACAAAATACCTCACACTGAGGACAAGGTTCCTTAAGCTGAGGACAAGGCACGTCACACTGTGGACAAGGTACCTCAAGCTGAGCACTAGGTACCTCACACTGAGGACCAGGTCCCTCACACTGAGGACAAGATTCCTCACGCTGAGGACAACGTTCATCACGCTGAGGACAGAGTACCTCACACTGAGTACAAGGTTCCTCAAGCTGAGGACACGGTACCTCACCCTGAGGACAAGGTACCTCACACGGAGGACAAGGTTCCTCACGCTCAGGAGAGGGTTGCTGACGCTGAGGACAAGGTTCCTCAGGGTGAGGACAAGGTACCTCACACTTAGGACACGGTACTTCAAGCTGAGGACAAAGTACCTCACACTGAGGACTAGTTAACTCACACTGAGGACAAGGTTCCTGACTCTGAGGACAAGGGTCGGCACGCTGAGGACAAGGTTCCTCACGCTGAGGACAAAGTTTCTCACGCTGAGGAAAAGGTTCCTCAAACTGAGGACAAAGTACCTCACAGTGAGGACAAGGTACCTCACACTGAGGACAAGGTTCCTCACGCTGAGGACAAGGCTTCTGACGCTGACGACAAGGTTCCTCACGTTGAAAACAAGGTTCCTCGCGCTGAGGGCAAAGTTTCTCACGCTGAGGACAAGGTATTTCACACTGAGGACAAGGTACGTCAAACCGAGGGCAAGGTTCCTCACGCTGAGGACAAGGTACCTCTCACTGAGGACAAGGTACCTCACACTGAGGACAAGGTTCCTCACGCTGAGGACAAGGTTCCTCATGGTGAGGACAAGGTACCTCACACTTAGGACAAGGTACCTCAAACTGAGGACAAAATACCTCACACTGAGGACTAGGTACCTCACACTGAGGACAAGGTTCGTCACTCTGAGGACAAGGCTCGTCACGCTGAGGACAAGGTTCCTCACGCTGAGGACGAAGTTCCTCACGCTGAGGAAAAGGTTCCTCAAACTGAGGACAAAGTACCTCACACTGAGGACAAGGTACCTCACACTGAGGACAAGGTTCCTCACTCTGAGTGTAAGTGCACGTAAATTTCTATTGTCTCACAGAATCGATATTAGGTAAAATTTATTCAGTAAAAAACAGACGTTGTTAACTCAATCCACGTTCAACGTTGTGGCCGTTTAGGAGTTCGCCATCGCTGCTCGGTGTATTCGGATAGGTAACAAAAAACTAAAATCAAAGATAAAGAAATACATGCATGCTAAACTATACTACAAAGAAATGTAAACATGCATGCCAGAGTAATAAATACGCAAGTACGTACATCTGTGTCCGTTTAAGGTGAAGCAAGTTCGTTTAACCTTTAATTAACTCAACTTCGATCGTTATACTGTCACTTATAACATAAATGAAACGCCTTGTGTTCGACTTCGTATCGTATGATCAACTGACTAGTTAATTTTCTAGCAAGTATTAAAAGCCTTACAAAATGTCCAATGTCAATCATGCATAACAAATTATAATTTGCATAATTAGTCATTTAATATATTTTATACTTAAATGCACACGCCATAACATTCCCGGTCCCTAGACTTCGCAAGAAGTTTACACAATTCACTGATCTTCTTTAGCCAATAAAAGTACAATCTTTGAGATTGGTCTTTTATACCCAGTTTCTTTTATCTTCACCATTACAGTCCTAATGAATCCTTGAGAATCTTGTTCTGTGTGCACGACTAGGCCCAAGGGCCACATATTACGAGGTGTATTCTCTTCTTTCAAAATTACCACATCTCCCGTCATCAGGTTACGCTTAAGTTGTTGCCATTTGCTTCGGTTTTGCAGGGTAAGAAGGTATTCCTTCTTCCATCTAGTCCAGAATAGGTTTACCAGGTATTGAACTCTTCGCCAACGACAATGTAGGTAAACGTCGTGTTTCTGAAAATTTCCAGGCGGAGGAAGTATTACAGCAGACTTCGTTGTAAGGAGGTGATTAGGAGTTAGTGGGTGCAAATCGGAAGGGTCATTTGATACCACCGTCAATGATCTGGAGTTAATTACAGCTTCAACTTCGCATGTCAAAGTCCTGAACGACTCTTCATCCAAACGACTTCCATGCTCGTACATCAACCCAGCCAGACCTTTTCTCGTAGATCTGATTTGGCGCTCCCACACACCGCCCATGTGGCTAGCCGATGGTGGATTAAATTGCCATTCGATTCCTTCTCGACGAAGTTTAATACGGATACTATTTTGATCCATTTCTTCTAGGGTTCGTTTAAGTTCTTTATTCGCGCCAACAAAGTTTGAACCGTTATCACTCCTTAAACATCTTACTGGACCACGGCGAGCTATGAAACGACGAAGTGCCAAAATGAACGAATCTGAATCGAGAGATTAGCGATTTCGATATGCACAGCTCTGCTCACCAAACAAGTAAAAATTGCTCCATATCTCTTCAATTCTTTTCGTCTTTCTTTTATGATGAAAGGGCCGAAGTAATCAACCCCTGTGTGGGTAAATGGAGGTGCTGGCGTAATGCGGTCTTCGGGTAAATCAGCCATTTTTTGTTCGCTAACTTTTCCGTGATGGCGAAGGCAAAACACACATTTGGAGAGGACTCGTCGTACTGCGGCGTTAATAGACCAGGCGGAGAAGGGGGGAATAGTCCCCCGACGGGGAAATTTATGAAACCAAGTGAACTTGGTCAATTTTGGGGTGCTGAATTCGAAAATCGTTGGTATACAGGCCGTGGACGTGGCCTTCACCCTCGTTTTCGCGTTTAAAGCCTCGTTTTGATGCGAAAACGTTATCCACTCGATTGAAGCGAAAACAATGAATAATTTGTTTAATATACGCACTTTTAGGTATTTTTAGGTGCAGAATTCGAAAATTGATTGCATTCGGACGATAAACTGGGCCATCTGCCTCGTTTCCGAGATTTATAGCCGCGTTTTTACGCTTTGAAACCATGTTTTCCGATTTTAGTTACTAATATATTTAAATTACACTTTATGCACGCATGTTACCAGTACAAGGCAATGTGTCATACTTTAATGCGTAAAACAGTCCATTTTGTGTACAAACATGAAATTTTTTTAGCCCCGTACCGAGCTGACGTTTGGGCATATTTAATTTTAAAATTAGTACGTTCTCGTCGATCTCTCGCAATGTTGCAAAATATCCCAAATTCGCGTTTTCTCTGTTTTAATTGATTAGTTCGAATAAAAAAGCATTTCGATGCGGACAATTTATCTATTTTTCTAGATCTTAAGTGCTATAAGGTTTTTAACGATCGGTAAACGTAAATATCCGCGCGAAAATGCTTGGTCTGAGCAAAATAATTATTACTGAACAAAATAATTATTGGCGGAAGTTGTCGATTTCACGCTGTAAACAACATTAAAAACATAACAGAATTCGAAGTGTTATTGTTTCACAGTTCATCGAATTAGCAATCAAGAGTCGTTTGAATAGGTTTTAGAGACGATGTAGGAAGAAATGGCCGATTGTGTTGTTCACTATGACTCACTGGACATATCTAGTGATAAACTGATTCGACCAAGTGCAAATACATTTGAAACTTTGCTCGAGTGTAAGAAAATACGAGAGAGTCTGGGCGGTGAAAATCATCACATTGATCAATGCAATAAAATTCCAGAGAATTTGGGAGAAATTGAGTACTTCTACCATCGAAAATGTTTTCAAAAGTTTGTATATGCCAAAACGTTATTGAAACGGAAAACAAGCCAAGACGGCTGTCAAGGTTCCAATAGCAAGCTTCAAAAATCAACAAGAAAAACATCACAAAGACAAAGTGATGAAGCTACTGGCTCTAGAGGACTGTTCCCGAATATATGTATGATTTGTAAGAAGAAGGAGTTAAGGGTTAAAAGTGTACGCCAGTCACTATCTAGGATTGTCACCGATACTGCAGAAAGAACACTAAAAGAAGCTGCAATTGCTCACAATGATTTAGAAATGATGACAGCCG